GTGGCCGAGCGCACGCTTAGGTTGGGCGATCCTAACAGTTGCCATACGTGGCCCAAATGGGCATGGCCCAGCGCACGCTTAGGTTGGGCGTTCCTAACAGATGCCATACGTGGCTATAATGGGGATGGCCGAGAGCACATCTAAATTAGGTGGAGTGGGGCTCTGAAACTTATATATAGGAATATTTACAGACATCTCAGTGTCGGACGTACGCTTGCGTGAGAGCTTTCAACAAGATTTGAATTTCATTAATGTCTCCCAATGACAGCCTAATAAAGCTAATGTGGGCCTAATGCGGCCCTAACGTGGCTTTCCCAATTAGGCGGTCGTGAATATTCCGCGTTACATACCGCATGCGGGCCTAACAGGCAAATTAGGTTAGCCTAATGCGGACCTAATATCTGCCTAACTGAAATTTCTAGTCGGGATGTTTCTACTTAAAATGTGTAACGGATTAGAGAAAAATTGCATTATTTTAGAAATTTAATAAAAGGTTTCTAGGTACGTGTAAGACATGAATATTTTGATAAGATTACCAAATGATGATTATTTTTATTGCAGAACTTTTCATCTTGTTTTCAGATTTCATTTGTTAAGCACGAGGTTCAATTGCAGGGAAAGGTAGCAAGACGCAGTTGTACGGTGATAATACAAACACAGACATTTATTGCAAAATGATCTTCCACTACACGATGTATAAAAAATGTGCGACACACGACTCCGTCCAAGAACAATTTAACAGTCAACCGAGCCGTTCCACAAGACGCCGCTGACCATCTGGGCGCCCGAGCGTCGGTAACCTATAGAACTTCCTCTAGTCTAACATCCTTGATGACCATTTCGAAAGCACAATCATATGAAATAACCAGAGGTTTAAAAAATGAATTAACAGTAAGTGATAATATTAATATTTCCTATTTACATTTTTTATGTCATACCCAGATGTGTCCCTTTTGAATTGAAATTTTGCCAATTCTCCCTGTTTGCACATTCGTGTTAGACATTAAAAACACGTATAGATTTAGCCAGAAAGAATTGAATTGATTGAAAAAGGACGTGCGGTACGAATGCAAAGTGTTTCGAATAATTATACCGATTCCTATGAAATGGGACAATATTACCGTTCGCATTCTTGCGCATACTTTATTTATTTAAATATATCGAATAAGTACATTTTCAAGTATCATTCTGTCTCTTCAAAAACTTCCTTATTTCAAAGAATTTATGTGCAACCGATAATCCAATATGACCTGATTAAACACGTCTATACTTCCTACGATAAAAGCATTTATTACGAACTGTAATAACATACCACTTGATTCTACATTAATCTTAAAGTGTTATTAAACCATCGTTAATATTAGAGTATCATTGCTCTATGACGTCCATTTCCATTGTACGCAGCAGTGTATAATAAGATGCTGTTGCACTTAACACCTGTAATTGCAACAAAAATTTTCTTTCATTCTTCCTTTAGAAAATTATATCAAATGTACTGTATTCTAATTTATCAGCTTTTCCTATTTTAACGTTAAATTCGTGCAAAACAAATGTTTAAGTAAAAAGTTACATATTTTAAATATTTGTTATAAATACTGTTTTACGTTAAATCGTGTAAAAATTAATAAAAATTGTTACCTTCGTGAACGATTCAAGGGAGATTGGAAAGAATTTCGCTGCTGAAATGTAGCAAGGACGTTTCGCTCGTACCATTACAATCATCATATCCTTTCTGAACTGGTAAAAATGATTATAAACATTCCTCTCCCAATTACAACTGTAGATCGCTGTTCCTATAGCGCCACTTTGCTCCATTATGTCGTTGCAATTTAGGGTTATTAAAAATATCTGTATCACTCCACCGAGAAAGTAATTTAGGAACAACAATCGTTTCATCAATACACCGTTCACCTTTTAAACAAAGAAAAGAAACTTTCTATCTCAGTTTAATCTTTGTTTCTTCGTGTCACTCTTGCTTTGCTTATATCTATTTTCACGCGAAAATAATAAATAACGAATGAATAATATTGAACAAAATAGTAAATAATAAAGGAATAGTATAGAATAAAATAACAAACAATAAATGATAAAAGAATAGTAATGAATAAAATAGTAAATAAATAAATAATACCGAATAAAATAGTAAATAATAAGTAGTATTTATATTCTGCATACTAAGTCCATTAATTATCTCACCAATGATAGTTGAAACCCCGAGACGCACAGAACTATGCTAGACACCAGCAATTGAATCATCAACGGGACACAAAATACGTATTCCAATTTTTCCACGTACGAAAGAAGCAAATGATGATACTGTACGCACTCCTTGAACTCTTTATACAGTCCAGCTGATTTTTCTTTCGAAGATTTCTCACTCAATACTGTTTGGAGTTTGTTTTGTAAAATCTTAAACTGTCCACCGACGTGCATGCTCAGTATACACAGGAAATTGTCGAAACAACAGAAACAAATTCCCGAATGCACCACAGATAATGTCTGCAAAGTGAAATGATTATTTTATCGACACAAACCACTTTGTCAAAAATTAAAACTTAAATTAATTTCTTCTAATATTTATTTCTTGTGTATTAAATGTTTCTTCTACTTGTTTCTCACCTCTATCACGAACAATATTTCATAATACGGCGTCAAAGACGTAGGCAAGTTAAACACTCTGAATGGAAACGGGAGAATTCTCTCTTCGTCACTTTTCCCGATGTTCTCTGTTGAAAAAAATTTCCTTCGATTAATCCACAATTATTTTCCAAAAGATAGGCACATCTTTCATAAAATTCGATTGTTGCATTATTAATGTTCAAATCGTTCAAATCTAACGAAGACTTTTAGTCTATAAATTAAATTATTGCAGTTGTTGACAACTTACCAAGAATTGGAGACAACACGTATATAACGACTGTTGCATAAATTAGGATAGTGAAAGAGGACATATATATTAGGGCTCTCTTGTCAAGGTTGTCCATGGCCTTTTTTCCAAAGCTGCTGTGCTTGTCGTGCCAAAAGTATTTTTGGGCAAATTCGATCAGCCACAGTATTTCTTTTCGTCGAATCGTGAATACAACAGTCTTCATTAGTATTACGAAAAGTGGTATCGTGTTGCAAGCAGTGTACGTCGCTGCCTAAAAAATTATTCCGACAGAATTTCCAACGTCTTGTAATTTTTCATGTTTTACAGCGTGGAACGACTGTCGTATCACAAACAAGAGTAGCACAATTTTTATTGTCCAAATGATTAAATAATAATATTCATATAGACATTTTACCAATATTAATTAAATGCTGTATGAGAATTATTTCTTTAATATGAATTGTTTATGCTTTCACCTTTCTGTTTTTAATTCGAAAAAGATTTCCAATGTCTGACGCTGTGAATTTTCAAAACTGAGATTATTTGTGAAAATTTCAGTTTAGTAGACAGTTTAAACGATCGCACAGCTAAGAATATGGAACTCTATCACGATACATTTCTCATCCCGAGGAAAATTATTTTCGACAATAAAAATTTTGTTAACTTAGAATTCAGAATATTCTAAATACCATGAAGATACTGAAATAGTGAAAGATATACTGCAGAAATTTGTTCAATGTCGAATGAAAGCTTCGCCAAAAATTGAAGCTCTGCAAACCGAGAATTCTGATTTTAACAAAACTTTCTATCAACGTGCAACAAAGTACGGAAATTCATTCCCAAGAAGGAAAATAGAATGCAATTTCGCTAAAAAAAAAAAAATCAGCCCTCACGGTTAGTAAATTAACTTCAAAGTATCACACAATGAAAAAAAACTCTGAAATCTCGCATACCTTGTTATCCTGTATCATTAAAGTCAGAATTATCGGTTTCGGAGACGTTCCTTCAACGATTCTTCAGTTATCACAACAAATAAGCCAATTGAAAAAATTCTCAACGATCACCACTAATTCCCTCTAAAATACGACAGAACGTTCCACAAATGTTCATGTGTACACACATATAAATCATGCCGGCAATAATAAAGATCTAACAATTCGATTGTTATAGATACAGAAAGAACGAGCAACATGTACAGATAGTTGACTCGCAATATCAGCTGTTCCCTTCTTGTCTGAACATTCCAGAAGCCTATGATTTTCATGAGTATCCGTGTGAGTCGAATGGAAAAGTATTTCGTCGTGTCTGTGACCATTTTCACGGCTTTACTGTCGCATGTCTCGCCTTCCCTGCGATCAACCTGGACGTAATGATTATAAGGGCGCGATATTTCTTATTGGAGAGGTGTCACGTCAACACGATACACCTCCCTCCCACCTTTATCTTTTGTTGCACTCGAACGGTGGTCGTACACTTGCAACATGTGAAATTTAGCACAGCTTCAGTTGAAGTTTGCTACTCGTGTTGTAATTTTACCCAAAGAAATCGACATTTCTCCACGATTTTCATTGGTCTTAGTTGGATTGTCGCTTTGGTTCTGTGAGACTGTTCCGATATGGGAAAATTACGCTCCGTGATAAGGAAATTTGAGGAGAGAGTGCAGGATAAGGATACAAGTTTTGTGTTTAACGTTGATTAGAAGCGTAGATTACAGTAGCAAAGGAAACTGTTGATATGCGAGTCACTGAGAAGTCACAGCGACGAACTTTAGAAAATAATATTTGTTAAATTTAAATTTAGTAAAATTGGAGTTGCTCTGACTACGTTTTTCTATAATATTCTATGAAAAACACGTATATTTAGGAGCTGAAAAAATTGAATAACAATGATAACAAACACTTGAGTGTTTCGTGAATTTCGCTATCGTCCTGGACGTGTTAACACAATTGCAATAATACAGTGTTCAGAAAAAAGTTTCTCCTTTTTGGGATATGCATTTATGTTAAAATTAGAATATTTGTTTCCAAGCTGCAAAAAATTGAATACTTCTTTCTGCTTCCACAGAGAATGTCCGAAATTTTCGCCATTTATTTCTACACACATTTGAGTGCATCTCCTTAGTGACTGTTTTATACATCTATTCAAAGGTTCCGTAAGTGAACGTAACTAAGCAAACATGTTTAATAATCATTTTTTGTTATATACATATATAAGCAAATGTGAATTCCAAAAGAACGATTAAAAGCTCGATTTAATTATCAATATATGTATATCTACCTCTTTCCTTAAAGTATATGCAATGGTCACGTGAATTAAACTACTTCGTTCTAATCAAAGTAGTTCGTTACACCTAAATCTCATTTACTCCACAAAAATTCACGATTTTCAAACAGAAATGTTCTGAAATGTTCACGAAAGGAATAAAAAATAAAAATAATAATAGAAATATTTTCGAATTATTAAGAAATTATTCTAATCGCAGACTTTCTCTGAATATTCTGAATGAGAAATTACAAGAACATTCACGGAAAGTCTGCGATTAGAATAATAATTTTTTGCACAATCTCTCCGAGGAACATGCGTGCTCACGAAATAAGAGAATGAACATTATAGCAATTGAAGCGATTTATCTTCTTCGGTGCATAATTTCTCGGTGTATAAGCTAATCGAAAAGTTACGTGTCCCACGAAAATTCAGCCATCATCCATCGACATTGTTCACTTCGACGGTTCGTATTAACGTCAGATAAGAAAAAGCAGTGCTCGTTACCTGAAACACGAATTTCTCAATGGACGATATTTATTTTGTCGATATTTAATAATTGATATTTTACGAATTACCGATGTAAACGTCTCACTGGAGACCGCAAAGAAGCCAGCTTTCATAGAACACGTCTCGATCGATCTGATAACCATCGTCGTCAAGGCAAATTTTAATTTCTTCTCCAATTTTCCAAAGATCACTCCCCAATCCGAGGAATACATCGCATCGCCGATCGCTTTGCTATGAGTGGTCAGTTCGTCTACGGTTCGGACTATCAACCATAATTCTGACACTGAGGCAACCATGTACATGATGTAGACCATGCGTTTTAGCAAGGATGCCTGGTACTTTTTGTCACGTGTAATTGTATCGACGATCAAACCAATGTACTTAATTCAATTGCCAAGATAATTGGAAAAATTGTAACGTAGCATGAATTTCTTTAACGGTAATTTTATAATTTGGTTGTGCAACTGAGTGAAATTTGATCAAACTGAGTTAACGTTTGCCAATTGCAAATTGCTACCAATAGGGAAAAAATATAGTGGATCGAGTTTCAAGTAAAACGGTATGCTTAAATCTTAAGTCACGCAAAGAATTTAAATTTATAATATAATAAATTTCAAAATGATTTTCTGAACAATTTACTGCTGTTAGTTGTGTCACTCTTCTAGAAAATCGACGAACTTTTTCATTGCTAAATGATTCAGCAATTAATAACTTTGTACGATAAAAATTTCAGAAAGAATAATCAGTTTAATTTTGGATTAAAGCGTCGAAACCATTGCTCTTTAAATAAAAAATAAAGAATGAATGTTAATCTATGCTAATTAACTCACGAAAGAAATTTCCAATTTCCTCTACAATTTTGTCAAAATTGAATTGCATGTATATTGAAAGAAAATATATATCAAAGAATGGACTCACCACTAAACATTCGTAACCAGACATACAGATTAACAAACTCGAGGTCATCATCTGTAACAGAAGGGTGTATTTGAACAAATTATTCAATTCCTCTACGTAGTCAATGAGCAAATAGTGTCGACGCAAGCATTTCTCGAATTTCTGCGACATTTGCTTCTGTATGCTAATCTCTTTATCGTAAAGTTCCTCGGTGAAAATATATGACAGCAGTCGGCCAAGTATTCTGAATTATGCGGCCGCGTGTATTATCAGCACACACGCTGACGCGTCGAAACCGATGTAGCATAGCAACAAGTACATGCAGAGGAAAATCTGTGGAAAAATAATTGAATTTAACGAGAGGTTTGTGTGACGAATTCGGGACAATTGCCTACCTCCGATATGAAATTAATCTGGAAAAATGGGCTTTCAGTTTTTGGCAAGCCTAGGTAAGTGTCGTATAGCAAGACTTTGTCGCTTGCATTTCTTCCCACATTGTTTGAGGAAATATTAAACGTGTTTAGGTATATAATGTCATTATTGCTGGATAATTGTAGTTCAATTTTTGGGATTCTTAACTTAAATTGCTTTTTCTCTCGATTCCTTTGCTTCGTCTACTCTACAGCATATTTCGTTACTCACAATTAATCAGATTGCACGCAAAATCATCGTAATATTGAAAAAGTAACTTCACTTTAACGGTTATACTTACATAGAGCATAATACGTCATAAGACACGCGTTCGATATTTGGGTATTACACACAAGTACAAATATCCAACACACGTTCACTTTATCAATTCCCTTAACTTCATCTGCGTCAATTTTGTCGAGCCTCGCATTCCAGAAGTGAGTCTCTGTGAATCTGATTAAAGCCAAGATTCTCTGACGATTACGCAAAAGGCTCCACGTTTTTATTGTTACTACAAATACTGGCATTGCGTTACTTGCAACTTGCGTGATGGACTAAAAATAAAATGAAATTTCAAGTATTTTCAAAGTGAAAAAGAATCTAACAGCTTGCTATATTTAACAATTTCAATCTTTAATAATTGAAAAATTTAAAGGAACACAACGTGTCGCGGTAACTTTGTGAACCAAATTCAAATTGCGTATACTCAAATTAGAAGGAATTGATTTTAGAGAAAAATCGGAAATATACAGATAAATTGCAGAAAAGAGAAGTCGTTTGAAGAATTACATAAAAGCTACTGTCACAGACGTAAATTTCGTATATAATCGTCCAAGACATGGCAAAGATATTGAGCGCCAATATTTCTCGAAGTATAGCGAAAATTTTTTCTTCCTTCTCCGTACTTGCTACCCAAATTCCAGTGATCCACATAAGTTTTGCTGTTACTCTAGCAGCTAGAGGACTATGTGCTTCCTTATTACTCATCTCTCATACTTTGCTCTTAGTAAAAAAGAAAAGACAGTGTCAATTAAGTAAATATTTAATAATGAATTTATTCAACGCATACTTAACATAATTTGAATATTGAACAGTAGAAACGTAACTAATAAATTTCTCACACAACTGAGTAATACAAAAAATTGACTTGTAATTATTATAAAAATTGCTTACTTACAAAAAGTAGCAGCATCTGACGAAAAATTGCAATGTAATTAAGTGATGAAGTTAACCGATCCGCGAGAAACTTCTATGGAACCGAAATTAATCTCGAATGAAGATAAGTTGAGTGTCTTCTGCCGTGAGGACGCATGAATTAGAGATACCGATTATTTAAAATGAGGCGTCAAGAATAATGACGGTAAACCCTCGTCGATTCTTTCATCCAAGTGACAAAGTTTTTTCCATTTTCATTTCCCACCCTTTTCCTTGATCTGGTTTCCGAGAAACGTGAGAGTATCATACCTTGAACAGTTGTTAAATTGTTTCTGTTGCACGGCTGTTGTAGGTGTTTGCCTTTTGAACGATCAGGTTCTGTGGAAGACGTCATTAAATTAAAGGAAGCTCCAGCAAAGGTTCTCAATGTTGCAATAATTCGAAATTTGTATTGCAATGTAAGAAGAAGCTTGGTCTTTTGTCGTGTAAAAATCAGAGACATTAATTTTTGTTGTATTTTCTAATGCAAGCTGTCTAATAACTTAGAAATTCTTGTGTTGCAATGATTTTCTGCAGTAATTCACTTGTGTTTTAATTGCACGCACTTGTATCAGCTGTGCTGGTCTAAATAGAAAATTATACGCATTTGTATTTAACAGCTACGATCTTGAGAAAAAGAGAGGAAGTGGAAGATCTAGACAATGCTCTTCAGGATCCATCGTTGAACTCGAAACGCCGTAAGAAGATGAGTCTGAGGATAGAAATGAATTCATTCTCCATTCGTTGATCTTCTGGTTTCATCACAGGATGATGAGTAATTTACTAACTGACAAGTGTTTTCACGAAAATTAGAATTTTTTTTTTAACAGTAGAGATTCCCAAAAACCAAATTTTTAGTGCCCTTTCTTTTACATAACCCCATGTGAAATATTTAGAATTGCAATTTGAAGAATTAACGTGATATTCGTACGAAGACGTTTCATGGTTTAATGCATATTTTATGTTTAATATTGCGATATATGTATATTAATTTGGGCAGGATGAAATTTTTTCTCGTATATATGTAATATTTTAAACTGCATATTTTACACGCCGCAAGTTTCCCTGCTATTTCACCGACCTATTTGAAAGTGGAGCAATCAATTTCTGCGAACCAATCGCTCGGTGTCGTTAAATTCCTGTAGATGGAACGTACCGCAGGAATTATAAAAACTTTCGAGAATTTCTAGCACAAACTTGAGAGTGCTTGTGATAGATAATTGATACAACTTCAAATTAAAAATATCTCCAAAAAAAGAAAATAGAATCTTTGACAGAAATGGAGAATTTTATTCTCGTAGCGTTTTAAATTTCTATTTTATTATTTTTTAGAAGCTGAATTTATTTATTATTTCATATTTATGATATTCGATATTGAAACATTTCTGGGCATTTATATTTCAGTTTAATTTGCTGTTTTCAATATGTGAGAATTAGATTTAGAGGTTTAGGACACCTCCTGGTGTCTTTATTACTATAAAAAGTACTTCACATTATTGAAAAAAAATTTCAAATTTCCAATTGCATTTAAATTTGAAAAATTGTCAAGGCATTATATTCGTATTAAATTCTATCTATTCAAGAAAATTCAGCGTTTCTCTCAAACAGGGCATGTGACAAAGAGAAACACATATTTACAGTGG